GGAAAGGAAGGAAAGGAAAGGAGGGAGGGAGGGAGGGAGGAAGGGAGGAAGGGAGGAAAGGGAGGAAGGAAGAAAGGAAGGAAGAAAAAAGCCCAAGATGCCTCAAAGAGGCCAAAGTGAATTTATCAAGAGTTGGGGTCTTTCAAGTTGAAGCAAAATCTGAAAAGTTAACCTGGTTCTAAGGGGCAGAGAATGCCAAGCCACAAGAAGACATCTGAAGGTTGTTTGTGTTTGTTGGGTGGGGTAAGTCCTGTGAAGGGTGTGTGTGGGTGTATGTGTGTGTGAGTGTGTGTGAGTGTGTGTGTGACTATGTGAAGCTTTGGAAGCAGCAGCATTTTTTCTCGTTGAAGTTCACACCTGTGCTTAGAAAAATAAACTGCACCCCTGCGTTCACTGCAGCATATTCACAAAAGCCAAGATATGGAAACCACCTAAGTGTCTATCAACAGAAGAATGGATGCAGATGTGTCTAGACATACAGGGTGGGGCAAAAGTAGGTTTACAGTTGTTCTTATGGAAAATACAATAATCTACACTAATAAAAGAGAAACATGGTAATTGGCGTACGACCGCTACCCTGCCCATTGGCTAATCAGCATATCCTTATGCAAATTAACTGTCAGCCAAGATGGCGGCCGGCAGCCAGGCAGCTGGAAGCGAACATGAGGCTTCCTTGCTTCAGTGACTGCAGACTCCAACGTTCCCCGCCTGACTTGCCGGCCTCTGAGCTGGCAGTTTGAAACGGATTCAAAAATTTCTCCATCTCTTCATAGATACAGAGAACAGACTAATGGCTGCCAGAGGGGAGGGGGTTTGGGTAGCTGGGTGAAAACGGTGAAGGGATTAAGAAGTACAGATTGGTAGTTATAAAATATTCATGGGGATGTAAAGTACAGAATAGGGAATACAGTGAATAATATTGTAATAGCTATGTATGGTACCAGGCGAGTACTGGAAATGTCGGGGGAGCACCCTGTAAGTGTATGATTGTCTGACCACTGTGCTGTACACCTGAAACTAACACAAAATAATATTGAATGTAAACTGTAATTTAAAAAAAAGATATACTCTTGGAATTAAAAAAACAAACCAAACTTCCCACCTTATTTTGGGAAATACTGGCTAAAGATCTTGGGGACCTTATGTTAGATGAAGGACTTTTTACTTCAGTATGTGAATGGCATTGACTGCAAGCTCCACTTAGAACATTCTATTAAGACTGAATCATTTGGCTGAATGTTTCTCAGAGAAAGGCCCAGATATGTAAACACCAAGTTACTTACCTGGGTGTCTCCCTGTCCCAAAGTCAAAGCGATCTACTGCCTGACAGAAATAGTCAATTGCAGACCTCATAGAGGGGATTTGGGAAGCTGGCAGGATTCTGTCGAATTTGGGTTCCAAATTACAGACTCATCGTAAAATCTATGAGGCTTTAAAAAGACAGGATCTGGAATCTCTTACTTGGACTAAAGAATGCCAAGCAGCTTTTGACACAACTTAGGACAAGTTAATTTTAGCCACAGCTTTAGGGTTATCAGACTTGCTAATCAACTTGTATGTCTGCGAGAGACAAAGCGTCAGTCTTGGCACGTTGACACAAACTTGGGCAACATTCCACGACCGGTAGCTTACTTCTGCAGGCAACTAGACCACACCGTAAACGACGGCCCCCTTGCTTCGGCCGTTGTGGCTACTCGCTTAGAAATTCACCCTGGGGCAGCCTACCACCATGTACAGCCGCCACCACGTCCTCTCCTTATTGGAGGAAAAGGGATTTTATTGGCATGAGTCAGGAGGAATGGGAAAGTATAAAGCCATCCTTTTAGGCGATCCTAATGTGAGGCTACAATTAACATCAGCTTTAAACGCAATGAGACTTGCTCCGGATTGAGACTCTGTAAACTCCAGAACATGTCGTCGAGCAAGGATGTTCTCGCTGGCCGAACTTGACTGACCAGTTAGCAGAACAAGAGTTAAAGCTCTTCACCGATGGGTGTAGCTTCATGGACCAAGGTAAGCTTTGCTCTGGGGTTACGCGGTGGTGACTTTACAAAGAACTTTATAGGCAAAAAACCTTACCCCCAGGGAGGTCAGCACAAAAGGCAGAAACCATTGCTCTCACAAGAGCCCTGCTTCTGGCTGAAGGAAAACAGATACATATACATATGTGTATATATATATATATATACAGCAACCTAATAATAACTTTTCTTCACCTTTCTAAAGCAGAAAAAAGAACCTGACAATACTGATACATCAGATAGATAACAGGGAACTACCATTGAGGTAAAAAATAACATATGGGAGGAAGAAAAAAATATTTTCTTAGAAAAATTCTTCATAGGCATTTTCTTAGTTTAAGAAATATTTCTTTTAGAAGGAAACTACTGTAATTTGCCACTGAACCCAGAACCTAGGAACTTAATGACAGACAGGAATCCAACAAGACAGGGCATGAATCGTGTTGAATTAATAATTCACACTCACCTTGGGGAAGTGTGTCTGAATTAGACTTTTGTACCATGACTGCAAAATGCTTTTCTTTAAACAAACAAATATATTTATACAAGATATTTAGTGGGTCATATGAATTTCTCCTCCCTGGGAGTTTATAATCTCAACATTATTCATTGATTTCTTTATTTTCATGTTTTTATTTATTAAACAGATGGGGTGGCATTGGTCAACATGAACATATAGGTTTCAGGTGTGGGTTTCTATGTTACAAGATCTGTATATTGCACCGTGTGCCCACCACCCATGATTTGATGTGAACTCCCATGCTTGGTCCCCATAGCTGGGAGAATGAATGAATACAGAAACCCCAAGGGTTGCTAACAGCTTCACATGGTATAGCCATTTTCACCTCTCAAACAAACTGCTGGATTTTTATCGCACACAAAAATCCATCTTTTCCATCTAAAAATGGAAATAGCTGGAAGAGGGCAAAGAAATGCAGTCCTACTGTACCCGGCCTCTCAGAAGCTCGTAGGCTGTCACTCCCAGGGACCACCAGTCCACAGCAAAGGAATAGCCGGCTTCTCTCCTCGAGCTGAACATCTCGGGTGCTGAAAACATAGGAAAGTTAGGTCTGTTCTACTCCCCGAGACATTCACAAATCTACTTTCCCAATGGGGTCCCTCAAAGGTGAGACACCAGGGTAGCAGGGAGGCGCGCTTGTATAGATGTCTATCATCCATGGCTCGATTGCTCACAGCAGGCAGCATTTCTAATTTTCTGGACTCTCTCAGAGGCCTCATTCATCAACCAACACAACAGGTAGCCTCGGGCCTTCGTGGACACATTCTTCTCTTATTTAGAACATGCAACCATGAGAAATTAGATCCCATCAGGCCTCAAATGTGTGGCTGCCCCTGAAACCGAGAAGGCGGAGATGACATGGGTGTTGTCTTGACTTGGCAGGTTTGGGCTAAAGGGCTGCAATGTGTTGGCTCTCCATCTGCGTCATCTTGAAAAGGCAAGGGCAGCATTTGCACCTTGCTCTTGGGGGTGAGGGAGGGAGGGAAGAGGGAGTGGACAGTCTGAGAGATATAATGTTTTATATAAACTGTGAGTCACTTACACTTTGTAACATCATTCTTTGAATGGACTGCAGTGGAAAGCAGAGCTATAGTTTATTCTAAGGCCCCCATTGCCCATTCTCTAAGCCAGCGGTTCTCAACCTGTGGGTCGCGACCCCTTTGGCGGTCAAACGACCCTTTCACAGGGGTCGCCTAAGACCATCCTGCATATCAGATATTTACATTACGATTCATAACAGTAGCAACATTACAGTTATGAAGTAGCAACGAAAATAATTTTATGGTTGGGTCACAACATGAGGAACTGTATTTAAAGGGCCAGAAGGTTGAGAACCACTGCAAGCACTTCGACACAAGGTGAACCTTCTACATTCTACATACTCTTCTAAGAATAGCCCTAACTCCTAAGGGGTGGAATAGGGAGAATGGGACACAAAGTAAAGGAAGGTATCTTATCTGCTTGCTCACCACTACATCCCTAGTGCCCAGTATTGAGCCTGGCATTTAAAGTCACTCAAGACACATTGAATGAATGAATGCTGCTGAATCAATTAATCAAGCAATGGTTGCAATTATTAGCCCTGGAGTTGTGCTGAGTTCAAAACTCGCCTTCATTGCTTATTGTCTGTTGGCTGATCTTGAGAATCCTCACCAGCAAAGTCAGAATAAGAAGGCAATCTTTCTGGAGGTGAGAAATTAAATGATGTAGTGCATGCCCAAATCTCAGCTCAGTGTTTGGCACCTAGGTGCTCACAAAATTAGGTGCTCTTCTTGCCCTGGCCGGGTGGCTCAGTTGCATGGAGCATCATCTCATACACCAAAAGGTTGTGGGTTTGATTACCAGTCAGGGCACACACCTAGGTTGTGGGTTTGATCCCCAGTTAGGCTCATAAGGGAAGCGACAAATTGATGTTTCTCTCCTCCCTCCCTCCCTCCCTCCCTCCCACTCACTCTAAAAAATATATATATCAGTCAATGGAAAAAAAAAAATTTAAAAAATATTAGGCACTCCTGTAGAGACGCAAACATCTTATAATAATGGGAATTTTACCTAACCAAGAGCTACACACACTGGACCTTTCTCTGTAGTGAGGTGCTGACTCTGGACAAAGAATATTGTTGGGTTGTGGGTCTGACTTGCCCTGCCCGGTGCCCTCAGTTCTGAGTACAGTCTTATGGGCAGCAGGCACTTAGAGGTAGAATGCTGCCATCCCAGGACCGAGCCTGACTGCACGAGCCCGCCATAGCAGGACCGCGCAGGCCTCCTTCCCACGGGATTCACGGTTCATGCATCACTGCATCCTTTCTATAAGTCACAGTCCCTGTGCGATTTGGGAGGTAATGGCCCTGACCCCATGGTACCCCCCAGACTGGATGGAATGGCCTATAGTTCTGCTTTCCTTTCTCAGTATCTCACAACAAGTCATCTCAGATAGTCCCCAGGGTGACTGACATCTTCCTTAGAGAAGCTGCAGAGAACTTTGAGGGATAAATAGACCATCGTGCTAAGAAAATACCTATCAGAATGGCATTACTCGATAAAAGCTGTGAATCCTGTCATCTTGGATCGTCCTTGGAGTTTATATGAGCATTTTTTTTTACTTTCTGCTTATTCTGTTTTCCAGCATGAGGACATTTGGATATGTGTTCATTCATTCAACAAATATTCACGGTGTGCTAGGCATTGAAGAATTTTGGTAGAACATGAAGAAAAGCACATCAGGCCAACATGTAAAAGCACAATGGATGGGCAAGGCTTTGAGCCCTCAAAGAGCTGGAAAACCAGACAAAGAGATAATGAGGGGCTCTTGTCAACCCTGCCAGAGGATCACCTGCCCCTGAGAGGGTACACACAGAGGTGGAGAGGGACACAACTTCCCTCAAACAGGCACTGGGTGCTTTGTTTGGTTTTTAAAGTATTTCAACCTACATTCAGAAAAGGAATTAAAACATAAAAGAGCAACTTAACCAGTAGTTATAAGAAAATAACCAGGGGACCATTACACAGGTGACAAATAGAATCTTGACCCCGCCTTCATTCCTGTCCTGTTCACAACCCTAGAAGTAATCACTTTGTTGAATTTATGTTAGTAATTTTGTTCCCTTTCTACATAGATTTACTACCTTTACAAGCATTTCTAAGCAATACCTAAGTTTTGACTATATGTTATACACACACACACACACACACACACACACACAAGCATACAAGTGTGGGCAAAAGTAGATCTACAGTTGCGAGTACACTAAACACAAGAGCTTATTCTTGTATTATTACTTACTAATTATTGCATTATTTATTTGTATTATAACTGCAAACATACTTTTGCCCTCTCCTGTCTATATAACATAAGTATATGTGTGTATATATAGCATGTATGTGTATATAACATATATGTAGGTGTGTATATACATCTCATATATGTTAAATCCCACTCCTTGCTTTCTTTGGTGTCTTGCTTTACTTGCTCAAGATTACATGTTATCAAAATTGCTGCATATGGTGTCAGTTTGCTCACAGTCTGCTCACATACTATAATTTACCTGTCTATTCTATAGTTGATATATTTGGATTATTTTCAATTTGGGGAGCATTGTGAACAACCCTTTCATGACTCTCCTGCACATGGAAGATTTCTGTAAGTACATTCCTGCAAGGAGAGCCTCTGGGCATGGAATGTGTGTCTTCACATGCACTACATCACACGGAACTACTTATCAAAGTGGTTGTACCAATAAATACGATGACCAGCAAGGCGTCAGACTTCCTTTAGTCAAGCTCCTTATCCACACTTGGTGTTAACTACGCTTTTGAGTTTTGCCAATCTTGTGAGTGTCTAATTGTCTTTCATTGTGGCTAAAATGGACATTCTCCTGATTACTAGTAAGCTTGGCCATGTTCTCATGTGTTCATTAGCTATTTGGATTTCCATCCTTTGGTTTTCAGATTTTAAACCAACTGGAGAGTAGATTCTGACGTCAGACCCTGAGGGCTGTGTCTACAGCTCCTCTTGGGCAGAGCTTAACTTCTCAGTCTGCAAGTCTCAAGTGGGAACAACAGCAGTACCTGCCTCGTTTAGTTTAAATGACATGATACACATACTTAGAACAATGTTGGGCACATAGGAAGAGCTCAGTATATGTGAGCCATTACACCTCCATTGCCATCAATGTTCGAGACGTATTTAGACTTGGGTTTAACCTGGTCCTCCACCAGTCCTTGCTGTGTGATTATGACCAGGTCAGTTTCTCTCTAGGCCTGATTTTTTTTTGTGTGTGTAAATCTGTGAAATCAGAATAATGGTGAAACCTATTCTATAGGGTTGCTTTGAGAATTTAATGACACAAAATGTTAAAAACTTAGCAAACTGCATGGGCCATAATAAATGCTCAGTTTATGATGCCTGTTATTATTGTGATTACATTATACAGTGAAAATTTAGGTTACAGAAATTCAGTATAATCAGACTGTAAAAAGGGATGTCTTTGCGTGCACATAGACAGAAGATCTGGAAGGAAACCATACGTATCTGTAAGCAGAGGGATTAATTTAATGTCCCCTCTGCTTATCTGCAAGGTACACGGTTTCCATAGTGAATTTGTTTTTGGAGGGGAAGAATGTTTTAATTTAAGCTCTAAGTGATCTGGATTATAGTTGCCCAGACCTAGGAGTAGGGAGAAGGAAGGATTGGAGTGATGGGAGAAAGCATGGACTTAGAAGATTATGAGTGAAAAATGGTTAAGAACTGGCAGACTGCTTATCTTCTCATTTCCAGAGCCAAGGAATTGCTTCATTATATGCTCTGCATCTCATATTAATAGCTGTTGTATATTCCTATAATCTTCATTCAGTATTGAATCCAAGTTTTTTTTCTTTTCAGATATTTTTTTTTTCTGGTTAATTGCTAATTAGTATCCTATAGGAGTGCTATAAAATGAGTGCTGGTGAGGGTTAGAGGTAGATTTTGCTAAGTTTTGGTAACAAGTTATTTTTGTAAAGAAAGATGATTTCCACCCATAATACTTCTTAAGAGAGACTCCCATCCAAAAATCAAAGCCAAGGGCAACTTCTGAACAGAGAAACAAGAAGCCATTCTAACAGTTTGGCCTACTTAAATTGGCTTACAACCATTTAAGAACCACAAATAACATTAACAATTTTTCTCTTTCAGGAAGAAACTTGATTGTCTAAAGTCAGACAGAGCTTGATTTAATCTAGGCCATTTTCAATTACTAGCCACGTGATCTTGGGCAAATCACTTAGCTTCTTGTTTTCCTCATTGTAAAATGTGGATAATTATAACCTGTCCTGTACGATTGTTGAGGGAAAAAAGTGAATGAGTAAATGAATGCAAAACATTTAACACATCATCTGGCCCACAGAAGGCTTTCCGTAAATATTAGTAATTGCTAATTATGAGTGTGAAGGTGGAGAGGCACAGAGAACCTTGCCCAGATTCCAATTTCTAAGCTCCATGTGGTGAAAAGACTAGACATGCCAATTTCAAGGAGAATTAAATTATATGGATCTTGTATTGAAAATTACTGGGGAGAGAAAATAAAGGTGGCCTCCCTTTCCTCCTCTCACCATGGAAACGAGGCCTAGAAACCCCAGATGCACATTGTCTGGTTTGGCTCCAAGAAAATAGTCCTTGATACAGAAGGAAACCCAGGTAACCTGCAGAATTAAACCCATCAGACCAGCAGGCGTGGATAGTCCTTTAAATCATTTGAGTACCATGGGTTTTAGGCAGAAAATAGGCTGAATTATATGTGTCCATTACTTCAGAAATGACAAAATAGATTTATTCCCTCCACTGATAATTGGAAGCCAGAACATTTGCAGTTGTTCAAATATCGGATAAAATGAAGCTCATTTTCCGCCATAGATTTCTTTCTCTTAGAAAGTGATGCAGTCCTGCACGTGGGGGTTCTCTTTCCCTTTCTCTCTTCGGTTGCATGAGGAAAAGAATGAAATATGAAAAGAAAGTGGCATTGTCCTTGCCCTTGATTTCACGTACAGATATCTGGCCTGTGAATTCCTCCGACCACATCTAGCCAGTACAGTTCATTCCACCCCCGACTTAATTTAATGCCACCAGTTTCACCAGTGACACCATCCACTGTAATCATCACAACTAATTAGGGTAAAAGCATGTCCTTTTAATTTTTTTCTCACTCTAGGTAAATTTTAAATAGTCAGGTAAAACCCAATTCCTCATCTTTCAAAAAGGAGAACTCATGGTATTGTGATAAAGTGAAAACGAAAATTGTAACTGTAAGGCACTCTAAACTTTACAGCCCTCTGCATGTAATGCCGTATCATGTAAATAGTGGTTATAATAACACTCGTCGCTTACTAGCATCCTACTTACGTCTGCGTCTGCTTCTCTGATTGCTTCTATGTTTAAACTCCTCCCACCAGAAAGTAAGCTCCATAGGCTGGAGACTTGGTCTGTGTTGCTCACCTCAGGGTCCCCAGCACCTGATACAGCACCACACACCCAGAGCAGTGGTTCTCAACCTTCCTAATGCCGCGACCCTTTAATACAGTTCCTCATGTTGTGGTGACCCCCAATTTCATTGTTACAAATGGAACATAATGAAAGCAGTGATTAATCACAAAAACAATATGTAATTATATATGTGTTTTCCGATGGCCTTAGGCGACCCCTGTGAAAGGGTCATTCGACCCCCAAAGGGGTTGCGATCCACAGGTTGAGAACCACTGACCCAGAGGCAATTAGTAGACATTTACTGAATTAATATTCTTCGTTAGGGAGTGGGCAGCCGCCATCCTAAATAACTGTAAAATAGTGTTTTCCAAAGGTGATGAGTGGCCCTCCTGAATCAACCTCTGATGGGGTGCTTCCTAAATGGAGAACCCCGAGGCTCACCTGAGAGCCATGAAATCAGAAGCTCCCCAGGTAGTCGAGGGGGGCTTGTCATTTCCAGCTGCAAGTCCCTACAGGTGACTGGGGCATAATAAATGGTCTCTACAGGAATGGAAAACAAATGCCTTGCTCTGAGTCAAGACAGCTGCCCCCGAAGCCCATACCCATGTAAGGCTTGGTGCCGGCCATGGTGGTGATCTGCGTCTCCCTGGGCAGCATGGCGGCGATGTTGAAGTCCGTGATGTGCACGTGCCCTGGCGGGAGAGAAGGACCACAGAGAACGTTAAGTCCATTCAACCCAGTGGCACACCCATGCTTCTAACTGGAAGCTTAGTCTGTAAATTCTTCTGTGCTTTGGGTACCAGCAGTGAAAGCTCAATCAGTCTGTCTTCAAATCAATATGTTCTTCAATCAGCAAACCCTCTAGCAAACTGGGAGCCAGAGCATGGTCCACAAAGATGAGTATCTGATTGGAAGTCTGCAGTTCAGCTTCAGAAAGTGTTAACTTGGGGGAGGGGGATGTTAAGAGCGCATGGTCTCATAATTCTACTTGGGCAATTTGTGTCCACAACATTTTAACTTGGTTTAACCTGTGAGTATCAACAGGGAACCAAGAGCTATGCAAAATATCAAATTGCCAATGGTCTCTTATGGGATCTTTTTAAAGAGAGAAACATTGTTACTATAAAGCACATATGAATGGAAATCCAGCAGCTCTTCGAATAGGGCTGCTTTGTTCAAGGTTGTTTTGTTATAAGTTTGATTCCCAGCAGGAGCTATTGTCTGTGTGGAGTTTGCATGCTCTCCCCATGTCTGCATCCCAAAGATGTGCATGTGAGGTGAATTGGTATGTCTACATTGTCCCAGCATGAGTGTGTGTGTGTGTGTGTGTGTGTGTGTGTGTGTGTGAGTGGCCCTGTGATGGAGGGGCGTCCTGTCCAGGGTTGGTCCCCACCTTGTCCTTGAGCTGCCTGGACAGGTTCTGGCCACCCAGGTCCCTAAACTTAAATAAGTGTGTTGAAAAATCATTCTCTTATTTTTATGCATCTTTCATAGATAGATAGATAGATAGATAGATAGATAGATAGATAGACAGATAGATGAAGCTCACCTTTACTTCAGTGTTTAATATTTGAAGTGTTTGGGTCTTTATTTAAAAATTTGGTGATGCTTTTAAAAATATATATATTTTATTGATTTTTTTACAGAGAGGAAGGGAAAGAGAGGGGGAGGGATAGAGAGTTAGAAACATCAATGAGAGAGAAACATAGATCAGCTGTCTCCTGCACACCTCCTACTGGGATGTGCCCACAACCAAGGTACATGCCCTTGACCGGAATCGAACTTGGGACCTTTCAGTCCCCAGGCTGACGCTCTATCCACTGAGTTAAACCGGTTAGGCTTGGTGATGCTTTTGTGGCCAGAACAGGCTATAGGAACTTAACTCTTCCTTATGTCAATTAGCTGATGGGAAAACTGGGTTCCTTATGTGTTATTTTGCTTAAAGTCACAGTTTCCAAGAATCTCCTGATGACATAGGACTTAGTATATCTATTTCTTTGCTAGGAAAGAACCCCTTTTTATCCTTGTTTTTTTTTTTTCTGAAACAACATTAGTAGTTTTTTGTTTTGTTTTGTTTTGTTTTGTCTGTTAAGTAAGAATGCCCCCTAACGGTGTTCAACAAAATAACTCACCACGGGGAAGCAGGGGAAACAGGGGAAACAGTTAAGCTTTATTTACAAAGAGGTTGTAGAAAGACTTTTAGACTGGGACCCAGGAGACTTGCGTCCTACCTTGACCTCTGCCCCTAACACATTGCGACTTTAAGTCCCATTCCTGTATTGAACCTGAGTTTCCCTTCATAAAGAATGGGGTGGGTGGGCTAGCTGATCGCCTGGGCCTCTCTCAGCTCTCACATTCGTGCCGTTGCTGTGAGGGTCTAACACTTAAATCCAGCAGGGAGCACATCTGTGAAGTGCATTGGAGTCTTTGCACCGACAGTGAGAAGGAAGAAATGGGCAGCCCCAGGAGCTCGGGCAGATAAGCTCGTTATGTTAGCTGTTGGCATGAAAGTCATAGGCTGTCAGAGGATCTGGAGGTGTTGGCATTTCCATTTCCGTGCTTCCATGGTTCCAATGAGCTGTGGCTGTAATTGGAGGGGATGCCATCTGACTCTTCATCCAGGTCTCTCAGTCCATACGCCTCCTGCCAAACTTGACTATCTACTCTTTGATGGCATCCAGCCTGCTGCTAAAGATAAACGTCACTGCCTTTATTGCCAAGGTTTGTTTTATGCCCACATAAAATATATATATTTTGTCTGTTAAGTAAGAATGCCCCCTAACGGTGTTCAACAAAATAACTCACCACGGGGAAGCAGGGGAAACAGTTAAGCTTTATTTACAAAGAGGTTGTAGTGTTTGCGTTTGCTTATGTGATTCCATTTTAAGACAAAGTAGCACTCAGCTAGCTAAAAGTAAGGTTTTCTGGCCTGAGTGGTACCAGTGGGTGACTTCGACAACTCACCCTATAGGTGGTCTCAGTTTGTTCTCTCTCTCTGTTTCCCTAGGGGTCATGCTCAGGGCACTGCATCAGTGGTTCACAAGGTTTGAGACGCTGTGGTTGAGAGCCTGTTCTCTGGGGTCAGACTATTTGGCTTTAAGTCCAGGTTCTATCACTAACAGGCTGTGTTATCTTAGAAAGGTGGCTGATCTCTCTGTGAAGGTGGGATGATAATAACAGTCTTCTCATGAGGTCGTTGGGAAGATCAAATGAAATAATGACTGTGGGAGACAGCTCAGCATTTGGTAGGAAGTGTTCAACTGTTGCTGTTTGTCATGATCAAAAACTCCAGAGTTACATAAAGTACTGTGTGTGTGTGTGTGTGTGTGTGGTGTGTGGTGGCGTGGTGTGTGGTGTGTGTGTGTGTGTGTGTGTGTGTGTGTGTGTGTTAATATGATGCCCACTTGATTTTAAGCACATTTTGGGGATCTGCAAGGGAAGAGCTATTAAGATAGCAAGCTTAGTTCTTTTTCACACCCACAGACTAAGTTTTTGCCTTTCACTGTTCCCCAGGACTAGGATGATATTAAGAAACCTACATTATAGATGATGCCATAATTTTATTTTGTCAGATATACCAGGCAGACAGTATTGTTCTTCCCGACACAGCATTTATTTCCCAGATAACTTAAAAGCACAAGAATTTGAGATACTATGAAATTGATGGAATTGGATGGGGTACTTAAATTGGCAGGATATGAAAAAATATATATCAGGACAACTGGTTAGGGGCCATCCAATGTCTAATGCCTTCTCGGGCTCTGAACCAGTGAGTGAGACATTGGGGGAGAACAGCAGCTGGTATCCTCTAAATTAAAGCATATTTAAAGGCAAATTCTGATGTGCAGGGAATGTTTATTCACACCATGGAAAGATTCTCCACTTTATGAAAGGATTTTGCTCCTTTAAATATCAATCTTTTCTGATGATTATGAACCAAGCTGAATCGGTGAGAATAAAACAACGTTTCTGTTTGGTGCTGAATGAATATATATAAGCAATGCGGTATCATACACAGCTCACTTAGAGGAATGGGCATGGGAGGCAGATCAGAAATAGGCAATTATCCTTCCCAGTTGCTAAAATCCCCGGGTAAGAGGTGCATGTGATGGCCTGTCTGGGGCGAAATATACATGTGGACAGAGAGGATAAATGAAACATGGAAAATCACACCAGAAAGACCCTCCAAAAGGCAGGCATTGATTTGCAGTTCAGTTGGTTCTCCCAAGAGCAACTCTACATGCTGAGCTCAGGGTGGGGGCTTACCAGGAATTGGTTTATTTAAAAGTGGTTAATTATGGTCCCTGGGAAATGCCTGAAAGCCTTAGTTTTTCAGAATCTGAATAAATACAATGTAAATAACCTTAAAAATATTCCCCAGAAAGGGATCCCAAAACAATGTTTAGAGAAGAGCTCTCAATATTGTTTGTTTGCTTTTATCCATTTACGTATCTAATCCTTAAGCAATGTTTCTCTTATTAACTGAAAAGATTCTTAAATGGAGTTCAGAATGAAATATAATACAGAAATCCCTATATTAATTTATTATCCAAACCCAAAACTTTGAAAGAGAAAAGGGGTCATTGTAAATATACACTAGATAACAGGTGTAGTTGGGACCGTCCCCCAGGCTGACTGGGATGACTGGGATGTCCCTAAGCAACTGAACCCCGCCCTGCCAAGAATACGATGCCCTGGGGAAGGAAATTTACTTCATCTTGTTTTATGTTGCTATGTCTCTGTATCGGATAGTCAGTGAACACTGGATACTTACCTGAAAAGTGGGTTTAGCTCCCTGCATACACGAAGGAAAGCAGGATGGGCCATTGACAGTGTAGTTACCTGAGAATTAGGGTTCAACAGTATTGTTTAAACACAAGAGCTAGCCTCAGCTGGTTTGGCTCAATGGATAGAGCATCGGCCTGCAGACCAAAGGGTCCCAGGTTTGATTCCAGTCAAGGACACATGCCCATGTTGAGAGCTCGATCCCCAGTGGGGGTGTTCAGGGTCAATGATTCTCTCTCATCATTGATGTTTCTATCTCTCTCTCTCCCTCTCCCTCGGAAATTAATTAAAAAAGTAGGACCCCCCCCCCCACACACACACACAAGACCTAACAAATAGACACATGGACTCTTGGGTATATCCCTTCTGGAATAAAAATAATTCTTTAGTAAAGACAGGTAAGTACCCAGTGTTCACTGACCATCTGATAGAGATACAGCAACGTAAAAGAAGATGAAGTAGTTGACACTTCCTTCCTAAGGGAGAAAGCCCCTACTACCTCATGGATTCATACTAACATTTAACCTTTATCGAGTGATTTCCTTCTGGTAGATATTGCAATCAAGCACTTTATAAATAGTATGTCAGTCTGTTTTTACAATGAGCCTAAGAAATAAATATTTTTTTAATCCCTGGAGAAACTAAGGTAGCAAAGGAAGTTTAGGCAACCTGTTGACCCTCTCTGTGCAAGTGAGTGGGTGAATTGTTGTTATTTTATTAAATTTATCAGGGTGACACCGATGAATAAAATGATATAGGTTTCAAGTGTACAATGCTATATTACATCATCTATACATTTCATTGTGTGTTAACCACCCAAAGTCAAGTCTCCTTCCGTCACTATATATTTGACCCTCTTTACCCTCTTCTACACCCACTACCCCCCCTTTCCCTCTGGTAACCAACATATGGTTGTCTGTGTCTATGAATTTGTGTGTGTTTTTTGTCTTGTCTTGTTTGTTTGTTGCTTTCAGCTTTATATCCCACATATGAGTGAAATCATACGGTTCTTGACTTTGCCCATCTGACTTATTTTGCTTAGCATGATATTCTCAAGATCCATCCATGTTGGCACAAGTGACAGTATTTCATCTTTCCTTAGGACTCTGTAGTATTCCATTGTATATATGTATCACATCTTCTTTGGTTTGGAACTTCAGCAATCTGGTTCCAGAATCCACAATTAATCTTTCATAAGGATAGTCTCTAAGGGTGCTTAAACTTATAGATGCATTTATTTCTGGACCTTTCTCCCAACCTACAACCACCAAGTTGGCAAGAAACCATGAGGAGGTGAAAGATGTTGAATGCGAGAGGACAGAACGACCTCATGGTAAAATTAGGATGAAACCATGTTTGAGATCTCAGATTAAAACACTGTTCTCTGAAATGGAAGGTAAATCTTGAACAAGTTTTGGTTGACAGCACCTGTATGTCTCCATTCAGAGCCTCAACGAATGGTAGAGCAATATATTGTAAACAAGGACAACCAGGACAGGTGGAACAGAACCCCAACCTGAGTTCTGCTTGACCAGCCAGCCATGCACTTTCATGAGACTGTGGTGGGCAGATGAAGCACCTTTTTCTAAATTGTGCAAAGGTGGCCCCTATAGGCTAGGGGAGGCCCTCTCCACAACCGTGAACTCCGTAGAGTTTATGTGCACCAGGGAGAGCCGGTGTGTTAACAAAAGTCACCTTCATGCTAAGTCTCCCCATTGCTCACATTTCTGAAATCCAGAGAATCTGTTCCCAAATGTCAGAAGCAGTGAAGGGAAGGAAGAAAGAAGGCGTTGAAAGTGGAAAATCTTTTCAGACAGTCTGTAAATAAATAATGACCCTGAGCCTGGAAATTAGAGGTCATACGCACAAGTGTTTCTTAGCTCTCTGAGAACAGGTGGGGTCTGGCAAATCAGGTTCAAATGCAACTAGGTAAATAAATAATGAGCACTCTTTGTAATACTTTAAGCAATAAAACAAAATTTAAAAAAAGAAAAATAAATAAATAGCGAGCAATGGATGGTACTTGGAGTTTCAGTCCCACTTGCAAGTCCTTTCTGTTAAAGTCACATGAGTAAGGAGCTTTGCAGATTCATGACTCATCTAGCAGCTTTCTGAAAAGAATGAGGATCTCATTGCCACTGTAACATTGATAACTTATAGTCTGCTCTGATGGACCAATAAATCCAAATGTGCATTCAAATAAATATTAGAAAGAGAATAGACACATTTAATCATTGTTGGCAAAAGCTTGTTCTACAGGGTATCTTTAATCAGTGTTTTTTGAACTTCTGGCATTCATTTTTTCACCTTCATGGTTCTTCCCATATCTCTATATCATGTTTCTATCTGGGTACCACATATACTGTCATCTACTTTATATTTTTCTTTAAAGTGACTGATTTTTTTTTCTGAAAGAGGGAAGGAGGGGAAGAGAGAGAGAGAGAGAGAGAGAGAGAGAGAGAGAGAGAGATCTATTTTTATTGTTCCACTTATTTATGCACTCATTGGTTGATTCTTGTATGTACCCTGACCAGGGATTGAACCTGCAACCTTGGTGTATTGGGATGAGGCTCTAACTGACTGAGATACCTGGCCAGAACCCTGGTTGATTTTTTGAACAGAAAACTTGATATCTCCTCTGCAAATGTAAAACCAACTTGTCCTCCTAAGAAGGAAAGCATAAAAGTGGGTGCCATGCCAACAAAATAGTGTTCCAGATTTATAGGGAAATACCATTGCCTGCCTAATGCTCTAAGTTTGAGGCCTGTTCATCTTTATTAAAAAAAAGGGGATGATGGTTATAAAGACAGTAAGGCAAACCAGCAGCAAATACTGTAATGGTTTCCTTGAAGAAATGAGTTGGAGTGGAAGGACATGGAAAAGAGAGTTACTTTCTCATTATGTGAATTCAGTGTTATGTAGGGTATATTGGGGTACTACCCCACTGCTGGAAATAATAAAGTTTCTTCAGGTTGTCCCTCCCACTTATAAGATGGAGTGTGTACCCAGGATAGTGTGGCTCAGTTGGTGGAAGTGTCATCCTGTGCACCAAAGACTCGCAGGTTCCATTCCTACTGGGGGCATGTGTGTGTGTGAGGCAACCGATAGATATTTCCCTCTCACATCAATGCTTCTCTTTCTTTCTCTCTCTCTCTCTCTCTCTCTCTCTCTCTCTCTCTCTCTTTCTTTCTCTCCCTCTCTCTAATAGCATTAAAAAACATATCCTTGGGTGAGGATTAAAAAGAAATGAAATAAAATGGAGTTTGTACATGTAACTCAAGTCAATCAAGCAAGGCACCTTTTCTACATGTAATACTCCTTAGCTGGGGATAATCGTTATTGTTCTATATACAAGTCTAGTTGGTTGCAAACAAATCATTCACTTACCATGTTCATCAAGCAAAATATTGTCAGGCTTCATATCCCTAGGGGAGTAAAAAGAAAAGAGAAAGTTGCTTACAATAAAACAAACATAACTAAAGGAAAAAGTACTCAAGAATGCTAAGTAGGGTTGAAATTATGTACTGGCCCCTCATTACTCACAATCTTATTAAATTCTCACAGTGAATCTATGAGACAATGACCATGAACACCCCCAATTTCTAGATCAGAAAGCCAAGGCTTAAAGAAGTTACGTAACTTAGCCCAGGGTCAGAGATAGGAAATAGAAGAACTGGGCTCTGAGCCTGGTTCTCTCTCATTCCAAAGCTCAGACTCTTAATTTCTATAGCATATGATATCTAAGCATGTAAGTATTGCTCCATAGGGCCATAGGGGGCATTTAAATTGTCATAAGGTAGTAGTACTAATTATCATTTACACTAATATTCATCTGTGTAAATCTGGGATGAATGTAAAGACTCTATAAAATAAGAAACAAAAAAAGGTCTATAATGCAAGTTTATTTTAAACGTGCAGAGATAAGAATTTCCCTTAGGATGATGCTATAATTCGCTAGTTACTTAATAAATATTATTCCAGGGGTGAAGGTGGTTGATTAAAAGATTTGGACCAATCTTCTGTGCTTTGGTGAGATCCTTAAATCCCTAGAAGGGAACAAAACCCTCCCTCTTCCAGTAAAGGAAGTAGTTTCATGATAACTACTTAGAGCAGTGGTTCTCAACCTTCTGGCCCTTTAAATACAGTTCCTCATGTTGTGACGCAACCATAAAATTATTTTCATTGCTACTTCATAACTGTAATGTTGCTACTGTTATGAAGCATACTGTAAATATCTGATATGCAGGATGGTCTTAGGCAACACCTGTGAAAGGGTCGTTCGACTGCCAAAGGGGTCGAGACCCACAGGTTGAGAACCACTGACTTAGAGGAATAGCGTATAGAGTTTTCAAAATTCTGCTGAAACAAATATTGTAGGCAGTGCCCCTCAATCAGAGAACAGCGATGCTGTGCCGACTACCCTGGTCCTCCACTCTCAGGTTTTACGGCCCTTCCCTAATGTACCATTAGAGCACTTCAGCCTAAATTCACAGAAGCCATTAAGAAAGAAACTCTGAAATCGGTTTTGGGAAAACACTTTCAGCCCAGTCAAGAGGCTTTTATGTCACTTGAATAAGGTGACCTTGGTCTTTGACAGACCAAGATTGTCAGGGTCCTCTTTTCATAAAAATATTATTGAATAACAAGCCCCTTACCTACGAACACAACCAAGTATATGCCATCCCCAACATGCAGATGCATGAACTTTGAGTATCTTCTCATTTAGCTTGTTAGGGTCTTAACATTCATTCTGGATTCACAAGTGATCATCTGTAGCTATGGCAAGTTTTTCTCTGGTGCCGGGTGCAATTTGCTAAAAAGATAGAGTGTAGGGGATTTCCAACTGCATGCTTCTATGGCTAATCTCTCAATATTGCATATTCTGCCCCAACGTCTTTGATGGATCCCATCATTTCAAGAATTATCTAGTTCAAACTCACTTATATGGAATAAAGGGTCTTTTCTCATCTGGCTCCTATCCTCCAGCCACATGGAAGCACACGCAGTCCCCTAAATGTTCCCTGCATCCCCCCACCTTCTGCTGTTCCTTCACCAGAATCAGGGCCCGCTCACCACTGCAACCAGACAGTGCAGATTCATCCTTCACCTCATAGCTCAGATGCCACTTCCTGCAGGAAGCCTTTCCTGATTTCTCAGTTCTTAGTCAATGGCCCCTTCTATGTGCTCTGCAGAGTACACTTCTTCCATCATAACATTTATCATTTATATTTATTTTGTTCTCCAACTGGATCATGAACTCCTTGATGTCAGGGATGGTTTCTAAATTAATGTCATACTCCATCACATAGGCTCACAGTGTCTGGTGGCCAGGAAGTGAATGACTCTCTGGTACTAGGAAGATGTCTAGTGCACTCAAGGTTAATCCTGACAGTATCTACCAGGGCACTACAGTGCACCTCCAAACACTCTACAGTTGAAAGTTTGGGGTAGACCAGGTGCTAGGCTCTTACTACCTCTTTCAGACCTGCATCCAGTGAGCGCCAGTTAGTGTTTGCCAAGAGAGGAGGAGGCCCCAGGAGCCCAGCCGGGAAGGGAGAGACCTGGATGTGGCAAGATCAGCATACCGATTCCGTGGCCTGGATTTATGGGGGCTTGCTGGGGAAAAATGAATTGCTCTGGATTTGACACTTTATGAGCTTCTATAAATCTCAGAGCATCATTTTATTTTTCATTAATGCTACATATCATTATACCCACTATTTGCCCCAGAAACGGAAGATGATGCTTAAAGAATAATACAGAGATCAGAGAGGTAACAATTAGTTTAATGTGTCACTTCTAACTTCAATCTCATATTCACTTATTCATCAAATATTTATTTTAATAAGTTACTATGCTAGGACTTCAGAAATATAGAGACAACTGAGATATAGTTCCTCTAGGGATGAAGAGAATAAGACAGATTCATAAGGAACCATGCAAAGAAGGCTTAACGTGGCAAAGGCGTGTATTTACTACTAAATTCAGAAAAAGAATATATGACTATTTAAAAAGAAAAAGTGGACTTTCTACCTAAAAATAGATAGGCATAGATTCTACATACATAGTTTTCCCAAAATGTGATGAGGTGACTTCTAAGTCACTACAGGGTCAGCTGCAGAATGGTAACATTCTTTATTCAGACACCAGAAGAAAGAAAATGAAAAGAAACCCAGTATGCTATATAAAAATTCCTGCTAGAACAAGTTGAGATTTTTCTAATTCTGAAAGTTAGCACCACTTTGTTATCTTTTCAAATAATCCTAAATATGAAATAACTTATGCTAAAATGTTTCTTTCATTTAAGGCAATCTGTAATATAGTTTCACTTAAGGGAATTATAATATGGTTTCACTTAAAGCTCTATGATATGATTTAACTTGGTGGCTACCAAACCTGGATATGTTCAGAATCACCAGACAGGCGCGCTTTAAGAAACGTGGATTCTGTGACCTACCTAGCTCAGTCCTGTAGCAATTGGACTCTCTGTGGCTAGGCCCAGGCATCTGTCCAAAACAGACTCCTCCAGACCTTCTTATGTACAGTCATGTTCAGAAATACCATCCAGGCATGGTTCAAGTCCAAAAATAGCAATCTGATTTTAAAACGTGAACGTCTTACAAGCTTATCTATGAATGCAAAAGTGTTAGAAAAGTACAACACCTACCACTCTGGAAAAATTCTTTGGTTAAAATGTACATGGAGTTCTCTTACAGCCTACATACCATTAGCAGGGAGCTAATGATGACAATGTCTGTGTGGTATTCCATCTAATACCTTAGCCTCTCATTTCCCCGACTTTCCTCCAATCTTTTCACCTATCCCACCCAATTGTTTCCTTACCCCCATTTTCTTCATCATCCCTCTTCCTTATTACAGCCTAACCCCTGCCCAGCATGACCTCCCATCCAATACAATTCCCAAACTGGCACGTCTGACACACTGAGACCAACCTACATACCATTAGCCCATTAGCAGGGAGCTAATGATGACAATGTCTGTGTGGTATTCCATCTAATACCTTAGCCTCTCATTTCCCCGACTTTCCTCCAATCTTTCCATCCATCCCACCCAACTGTTTCCTTATTCCCATTTCCTTCATCATTCCTCTTCCTTATTCTAGTTTACCCCCTGCCCAGCATGACCTCCCATCCAACACAATTCCCAAACTGGCACGTCTGACACACTGAGACCATCAGCTTCTCAGAGAAAGGACACCTTTTCTGCACTGTTCAAGCTGAAGCGCCCAGGCTCCCCAAAGTGCCCAGAACAAAGAAAGTGCTTAATATCGGTCATAAAAATGGGTGAATCTGGTTCCTTGGTTTCTCAGACTTCTGGAAAAATAAGCCATGTATTCTGTTCTTTTTTCCCTTAAGAAAAGAAAAGAACAAAAAGGAAAATAAAAGAACAACTCCCTCTATCCCTCATCCCCGCCAAAAAAAAAACACACACACACAAAAAAACACAACACAAAAAAACAACAACAAACAACTCTCTACGCCAGATGCACTATATTCACTGTGAGTCAACTAAACAACTGATCATTTTAGTACGTGGATGAGTATATACTAGAGTAAGAGTGATAAAGCCGTGATTTCTGCAGTCTGAGCCCCTGAGTGCAGAGGGGAAGCTCTAGTGTGGGGAGTGGTAAAGTGCAGTCCTAGGCACACACACCCTAGAAACTCTTCATGGCGTCTTGATTGGAAGAAACGGAGCAGGCCACGCCCTGCTTTCTCAGCTGACTCCCACGGTGGGAACCAGAAACAGCACGTGCAAATGTAATGCTCCTGGTGGAGGCAGGGTCCAAGGTGGGAACTGATATACCTGCCGTTCTCACCTGAATGACTTTCCAGGACATTAGCAGAACTTAATAGGCTCATTACATCCCTTCACTGCACCTACCCTGGGATCAAGTCACTCACCGGGCAATCCGATACGAGGTGTTGTGAGAACAGGGAACAAGAAAATCAGTGTATCCGAACCAAAATCAGCTCCCTCCCTGTCCCCCAGCTTTCCGACAGGTCCACAGTTTGGGTTTAATTCTCTGTTACATAATGGGCTCCTAGGTTGGGTCTTCTTCAAGTTCTTGAGAGGGGAAAATATCATATATGTAGTTCTATAGTATATTCTTTAGGGTGTCACCCAAAGGCTATTGGTCACATAAACAGCTCTATGTTAAGGAAAGAGTTGTTTGAAGTGGGAGAGTGTGAGGAGACATTGTAAGCAGAAACACATAGTTTGGAACGGGAGGTAGAGGTGAAAATTGCCAGGATTGGATTATTACAGACCAGGTCTCATCTTCCATAGTTATTACAAAATTATTGACTATATTCCCTGTGCTGTACTTTACATCCCCCTGACTATTTTGTAACCACCAATTTGCACATCTCAATTCCTCCCTGCTTTTCACCAATTCCTCCATTCC